CCACATACCCACTCAGCCACATACCCATTCAGCCACATACCCATCAGCCACATACCCATCAGCCACATACCCATTCAGCCACATACCCATTCAGCCACATACCCATTCAGCCACATACCCATTCAGCCACATACCCACTCAGCCACATACCCAGCCACATACCCATTCAGCCACATACCCATCAGCCACATACCCATTCAGCCACATACCCATTCAGCCACATACCCACTCAGCCACATACCCACTCAAAGACCCACACACCTTGCTAACCACTTACCTACGCACCCACCTACACACCCACTCACTGACTCACTCACTCAACAATTCATTCACCCATCCACTCACCATTTCACTCCCCCAATCATACACCCACCCATCCACCCACTCCATCTCTAACTCACACACTCACCAGTCCACCCACTCACCCAGCCACTTACCTACTCACCCACTCACCCTGCCACCTACTCGACCTGCAACAGACCTACCGACCCAACGAGCCACCTACCCCCTAAACTAAACTACTTTTTATTTCCCCAGGTAAGGCCCATTGAGCTATATAGATCCTTTTCAGAATAGACCTGTGAACAAATTATAGATAAACGAAGTGGCTTATCACATAGACATTTATTGCAGCCAAATCCTCTAAACGCATGTTGATTCTAAATGCAGAGGGGAAAACCCGGAGGACCTGCAGCAAAATCCACGTGACCATGTGTAGAACATGCAAACTCCAAATATACAGGCGACAGGGTCAGGATCGAATCCACAACCTCCTGTATACCAGGCGAGGCAGTGCACGTCTCACCACCTTGGCGCCTCACTCTCTGACTCACCCATCCAATAACTCAAACACTAACTTACCCACTCAACCTCCCACATCAACTCACCCACCCACTCGCTGACCCCACTCAGTCAACAACTCACCCACCCACCCAACCATTCACTCCGTTAACCACTTTCTCACCGACCCACTCACCCTACGACCACTCACCAAGCTACACACTCACCTACCAACACACCCATTCACTCACTTGCTCACCCACCCACTTACTCACCCAACCACTAACTGACCAACTCACCCACCCACAAACTCACGAACAAAAAAGACACCCACTCAACCCATCGCTCACCCAACCCCTCACCCACTTACTGAATCACCCACCCACGCACTCACTGACCCACCAACTCACTTCACCCACCCAATACTCCCTCACCGAGCCACTCAATCTCTAACCCACCCACTCACCCAACCACCCACTCAATCTCTCAACCACACACAAACCCTGCTACTGACTCAATCTCTTAACCAAAGCTCACAAACCCACCCATCCACTCACTCACCCAGTGACTAACCCACTCACTCGATTTCTAACCCATCCATTCACGCACTACCCACCTAACCTCCTACCCACACACACTCACCCACCCACACATCCATGCACCCACACACTCACCCACTCACTCAACCATCCACTCACTAACTCACCCAGCCGTGCACCTACTCACTCACCCACTTTCAGATCCACTCACCCTGCCACCTACTCAATTTATAACCCACCTACTCACCCACCCACCCAGCCAACCACCCGCCGACTCCCTCAGCCACTCAGCCACTCACCCACTACCCACGTAATTATTGACCCACCCACTAATTTAATCACCTACTAACGTAACCACCCACTAACTCAACCACTGAGTTACTCGAACTTACCCACTCACCAAGCCACCCACTAAATCTCAAACCCACACTGATGCACTCACCCACCTGCCCACTCACCAACACCCTTAACTAAATCTAAAAAAAAAATCCCCAGGTAAGGCCCACTGAGCTATATAGGTTGTTTTGAGAAGCAGGGTTTGGATCGAACCTACGAACTTAAAAATACCAGGCAAGGTAGTTAACAATTTGCCAACATGGCACTCCACTCTCTGACTCTCCCACCCACGATAACACACACTCAAACACCCACCCACTAACTCAACCATCCATTCATTCAACCACCGAGCCAAGCACACACTCACCCACTCACCAAGCCACCCACTCAATCTCTAGCCCACACTCACTCACCCCACCACTGACCTACTACCCATTAAACTATTCTTAGGTTTTTTCGGTAAAGTCACGTAGGTAAAAAAATGTAAATTAATAAAAGTTAAATAAAACACCCATCAAACATCGCACTCACTCATCCACTCACCGACCCAGCCACTCCTTTGCACACTAAATGAAAATTACGCTTTTTTATTTTACCAGGTAAGGCACTCAGCTATATAGATATTTTTCAAAAACCATTTGACCACAAATATTCAACTCAATTAAGTGGCTTTTCACGTATAAAGTGATAGCAGCCAAATTCTATAATTGCATGTTTTTAAATGTGGAGGGAGAACCCGGAGCACCTGGAGAAAATTCCACGGAAACATGGGGAGAACATGCAAATATACAGGTGTCAGGGTCGGGATCGACCTCACGACCTCCTGTATAAAAGGCGAGGTAGTTAACAGCTCGCCACCACGGCACTCCACCCACTCACCCATTCAAACACCCACCAATCCACTCACAAACCCACTCACCCTGCCACCCACTCAATCTCTAATCCACTCACTCAACAATTTACTCACCCACTCACCTACTCAACTAATCACACCCCCACTCACACACCCACCCATTCACCCACTCATTCTCTAACCTACCCACCAAATCACTCAATAACCCACCTACCCACTCACCCACCCAATAAACTAAATTAAACAATATTTTTTATTTTACCAGAAAAGGTTCAGATCAGAGGTACGGGTACCCGTTCCCTACCCGTACCCATACCCTACCCGAAATGAGTGACAAACGGTTACTCACCAGTGCCTCAGGGCCTATCCGTACCCGTACCCGGCCGCCCAGGGTCACAAACGGCTACCCGTACCGTACCCGGCCGGGTACGGGTAGCCGGGTATCGGGTAGGGTACGGGTATCGGGTACCCGGTTGCGACCTCTGGTTCAGATAACTAAATTAATATTTTTCAGAAGTGACCTGGTTACAAATGATAGGTTAACGAAGTGGATTATCATGGAGACATTCATTGCAGCCACATCCTCTAAATGAATGTTGATTTTAAATATGGAGAGAAAACCTGGAGGACCCAGAGAAAAATCCACACCACAGGGAGAACATGCCAACTCCAAATATACAGGTGGAAGGGATGGGATCGAATTCACAAAATCCTGTATACTAGGTGAGGTAGTTAACATGTCGCCACCGTGGTGCCTCACTCTTTGACTCACCCACCCACCCAATCACACACTAACAACTCACCTGCTCAACCTTCGATATTCACTCACCCACCCACTAACTGACTCACCCACCCACCCACTCACCCAACAATCTACTCACCCGCCCACTAACCTATTCACTCAAGCCCTCACTCACCCACTCCCCCACACAATATCGCACTGACCTACCCACGCACTCACTCACACAGTCACTCACTAATTCACCCACCCACCACCCACTCACCTATTCACCCACCTACTCAACCATCCACCCACTCATGCTCCCATACACTCACTTACTTATCCAGGCACTCACCTACTCACCCACCGACTTACTCACCCAATAAGCCACTCACCCACTCACCCTCCCAATCACCTAGTTACCCACCCACTCAATCTGTAACCCACCAATTTTCTCATCCACTCACCAACCCACCTCTCACCAACTCTCTCACCTAATCAATCACTTCAAACCATTCACTCACCCACCCACCCACTAATTCACACAATCACCCACCACCCACTCAATCTCTAACCCACACCCACCTACTCACTCACCCAACGACTCACTCAACAATCCACTGCTCCACACACTCATCTATTCACTCACATTCAACACACCCACTTCTCTAACACACTCACTCACCTACTCCCTCAACCACTGACCCACCCACTCACCCACTGACTCACCCACCGACTCATCCACTAACTCACTCACAGACCCACTCAGTTAATCACTGTGTAGTCCTCATCTCTTCCAGTATTGTGAGATATTCTTCCTCCCAGCGGTATCTTCACGACAACGCCCTGGGGGGTGGGCAAGCCTCACAACGAGTCGGGCGAGCGGGGCAACAGCCTGGTCATGTTGGGTTCATAGCGCAGTGCGGCACACGCATACACACAAGCAGACCACACACATATGAACACAATAACAACTGTGGAAGCCACTCACGCGATAGGGATGGGCCGCATGGTCCACTCCAGCTCGATGTACGGCTTGCCCGGATACAATGTTAACTACCTCGTCTGGTATACAGGAGGTTGTCGGTTAGATCCCAACCCTGACACCTGTGTATTTGGAGTTTGCATGTTCTCTCCGTGGTCAAGTGGATTTTTATTCTGGTCCTCTGGATTTTCCCTACACATTTAGAAACAGGCATTTAGAGTAGTTGGCTGCTATAAATTTCCACATAAGGCACGTTGTTGACCTATCACTTGTGGCCAGGTCACTTCTAAAAAAAGAGTTATGTTACTCAGTAAGATGGTTGAGACACAGGTGATGAGCCCATGTGTAAGGGGTTGAGTGAGTGAGCGGTTTAATTCATGATTGAGTGATTGATTGGTTGAGTGAGTGGCTGAGTGAGTGAGTGAATGGTTGAGTGAGTGGCTGAATGAGTGATTTATGGAGCGATTGGTTCAGTGAGCGAGCGGGTGGTTGAGTGAGCGAGTGAGTGGTTCAGTGAGTGAGTGGTTGAGTGAATTAGTGAGTGGTTGAATGAGTATTTGAATGAGTGAGTGTTTGAACCAATGAGTGAGTGTTTAAAGCGCATGAGTGTGTGGTTGAGTGAGTGGTTGAGTTAATGACTGAGTGAGTGATTGATTGAGTGGTTGAGTAAGTGGATGGTTGAGTGAATGGTTGAGTGAGTGGTTTAAGTTAGTGGATGAGTGAGTGAGTGGTTGTATGTGTGGCTGAGTGAGTGAGTGGATGAGTGAGTGAGTGGCTGGCGCGCACCTTGGCTGCGTTGTCCAGAGTGTCCCGCTGGTGCCGCCCCACTGTGTTGCTGCACTCCGCCAGGGTGAGAGCGGCGGTGCCGCGCCCGCAGCTGCTCCAGCGACTACGCCATCTTGCCCAGCCCCTCCTGGCGAGCACGCAGCATGCCCTGGAGCTCCCATCACATGGTGCTGGCAATCTGAGACACCCGCCTGTAGCACACACACAGAAGAAGAGATACGGGAATGGATTAGGGCGACCCGGGTGACGAGTTCACTACTTCGCCCGGTATACAGGAGGTTGTAGGTTTGATCCAAACCCTGATACTTACATATTCAATTCTGCTCGTCCAGGCGGGGAGAATCCAATCACATTTATTCGATGCGATGTTTCTCATGGGATATAATAAGCGACAACATTTGGACCCCAAACCGAGAGGATTCTGGGATGTTTGTGGTTTTTTGCCAATAACTCTGGAAAGAAATGTCGCAGACCCATCAAGGTGGGACTCGTCCAGCGACATAATGGTTGAGTGACTGGTTGAATGAATTCGGGAATGGTTTGAATGAGTGAGTGGTTGAGTGATTGAGATAGAGTGACCGAGCGGCTGAGCGGTTAAGTTAGTGAGTCGTTGAGTGAGTGTGGCTGATTGAGTGAATGGTTGAGTGAGTTAAAGAGTGATGGTTGAGTGGCTGAGTAAGTGATTAAGTGAGTGAGTGGTTGAGTGAGTAAGTAGCTTCGTGAGTAAGTAGCTTCGTGAGTGCGCGGCTGAGTGGTTGAGTGTGTGGCTGAGTGAGTGGCTAAATGAGTGAGTGGCTGAGTGAAAGGGTGAGTGGCTGAGTGAAGGAGTGAGTGGCTGAGTGAGTGAGAAAGTAATTGGTTGAGTGGTTGAGTAAGTCATTAAGTGATGTGAGTGGTTTGCTCTAGTGAGTGGTTAAGTGAATGGTTAAGTGAGTGGTTAAGTGAGTCCCCAAGCCGAGAGGATTCTGGTGAGTCGTTGAGTGAGTGGTTTGGTGAGGGGTTGAGTGAATCGTTGAGCGAGTGGTTGGGTGATTGGTTGAGTTAGCGAGTGCTTGAGTGAGCAAGTGAGTGGTTGAGTGAGCAAGCGAGTGGTTGAGTGAGTGAATGGTTGAGTGAGCGAGCGGTTGAATGAGCGAGTGGTTTAGTGAGCGAGTGGTTGAGTGACTGAGTGAGTGGCTGAGTGAGTGGCTGAGTGAGTGAATGGTTGAGTGAGAGTGTGATGGTTGAGTGATTGAGTGAGTGGGTGGTTGAGTGGTGTTAATGATTGGTGAGTGGTTGAGTTAATTATTGAGTGAGTGGTTGAGTGAGTGAATCTGAGTGAGTGAGCGGCTGAGTAGTTGAGTGAGTCGTTGAGTGAGTGTGTGAGTGAGTTTGTGGCTGAGTGAGTGAATGGCTGAATGAATCACAGCTATGATAAAATGGACATCAGCATATAAGTGGTCTTGTATTCACTCAGTAAATGAAGTTTAATCAAATTGTACACTCACAGGAT